AATGGAGTGAAGTCCAATCAGCTTCCATATGCAAAAGACCTTGAAACACTGGGCGGGACTGCACAAAGCAGCCAGTCTTCTGCCAGCGTCTTCTGACTGACAGTTCAAGCATCCATACACTAAAGGGGCCAACTTTAGAATTTTGGCACCCACTACTCTTTTATTATAAGGGAGAGATAGATTGTAAATCCACAAATATTGGTCTGAGACTACACCCTGACTTGCTCCCTTTTGGTTTAGTAGAGATAGCCAACCACCCCAATTAGTTTTGTTCATTACTTCAGAAATTATTATTGAGAATTTGTTTTATAAACGAGTTTATTATATAACCCCAGCAAAGCTCAATGGAGATGTCCAAATCTGCATGGACTACAAGTGCATGATTAATAAGGCCCTCCAGGACCATGCTTACCCAGTCCTTGTGGTCAGCCACGTCCTGGCGTCCCTGGCAGGTGTGAAGATCTTCAGCAAGCTGAATTTCGCCCAGGTCTCTGTCAACGCACAGGGCATCCATCCGACGTCGGACAAGGTCCACGCCATCATTAATTCACTGGCGCCCATGTCCAAACCAGAGCTCCAGGCCTTTTGGGGACTGTTGAACTTTTACCACTCCTTCCTGCCCCATAACAGTCGTGGAGCCTCTGCACCGGCTCCTTGACAAAAAAAAGCCCCTTGGATCTGGGGCCAGAAGCAAGCCACCGCGTACCAGGCCATCAAAGAACTGCTCACTTCTAATGCCGTCCTTGCTCACTTCAATGAAATGCTTCTGGTCATCCTTGCCTGTGACACATCCTCGTACAGGGTAGGAGCTGTCCTTGGCCACCAGCTCCCAGACAGCAGGGAAGTCCCCATAGCCTACTATTCTCGCACCTTGTCTTCGGCCGAGTGCAACTACGCACAAATTGACAAAGAGGTGCTGGCGATCGTGGCAGGAGTCAAGAAATTCCATGACTACCTCTATGGGAGGCCCTTCACCGTCGTGACTGACCACAAGTCACTGCTGGACATGCTGGCCCCGGATTGCCAAATGACAGAGATGCTGTCTCCCAGGGTGTTGCACTGGTCCATCTTCCTGGCTGGCTACCAGTATTCACTCATCCATTGCCCTGGGAAGGTGATGGGTCACACCAACGCCCTCAGCCGCCTGCTGCTGCCCTCCTGCGACCTGGACCTGGCTCCAGCACATCAGATCCTGCTCCTTGAGGACCTGCCTGACTGTCCTCTTCAGGTTTTCAGCATGTCCCACCACACTGCCAGGGACCGTGTCCTCTCCCGTGTTTTGGACTGGGTGGGGAGGGGATGGCCCACAAGCTGGGTGGGCCCGGAGTTCACCACATTCTCCTCCCACCGGGATGAACTGTTGGCACATAAGGGCTGCCTGCTGTTGGGAAGCCGGGTGGTGGTACCAACACTATTGTGCTAACAAGAACTAGTGATACTTCACAAAACACACCCGGGGGTCGTGCGAATGAAGGCGCTGGCATGCAGCTACGTATGGTGGCCCAGCATGGACAGCGAGATCAAGGACTGTGTTAGGCACTGCCAGACATGCCAGGAAACCCAACCAGACCCCCCCCCAGGGCTCCGATGCACCAGTGGGAGTCCACCCACAAACCCTGGTCCAGGCTACACATGGACTTTGCGGGCCCCTTTCAGAGGCAGATTTTCTTTATCTTAGTGGACTCCTATACCAAATGGCTGGAGGTGGTACCAGTCTCCTCCACCTCTTCCAAGGCAGCACCCTTTGGTGCATCTTCTCCACCCACGGGCTTCCAGACACCATTGTGTCGGACAACGGAACACCTCAGGGGAGTTCCAGGAATTTATGGGCTGCTATGCAATCTGGCATGTCTGTTCCGCGCCTTTCCACCCAGCCACCAAAAGCCAAGCAGAAAGGATAGTAAGGGTCACAAAGGAGTCCCTCCGGCAGATCATTCATGGAGACTGGGATCACCGGCTCGTAGCATTTCTTTTTTGCCACCCTGTGACACCAAGCACCTCCACCAGCTGCAGTCTAGACAGGCTACACCCTGATCGCACTCCAGAAAACTACCCGGCAACTGAAAGTCAAGTAGCCCCCTGTGGGTTCTTCCCAGGTAACCCTGTTTACACCCAAATCTTTTCCAGTGGCCCATCCTGGATCCCCGCCAAGATCATCAGAGTAACAGGGCCCCTTTCCTATGAGGTGTCTACCTAGGACGTCCAGGTACTGTGGAAACACATTAACCAGCTCTGTCACTGCCAACTTCCCGCCGAGTTAGAAGAGTGCAACGCGGAGCTGCCATGCCCACCAGAACCAGAGCTTGAGGGGGAACAACCGCCAGCAAGCAGCCAGCCCATGACGACGCGCTGGAGCAAACGGCCATGAGTTTCCCCAAAGTTGCACCAACACCGCTACATCCCATTGACACCTTGGCTGCACCGGTGGCCTCCAATCCTGAGACCCTGGCCCCACAGATGGAGCTGCGCCATTCAAACCTCGAACGGCACCAATCAGCCTACTTAAAATACTTTTTCTGTTAATGTGCTTTTGAACCTTGGGGGGAGGGGTGTTATGTATTAAGCTCAAAGTGCACCAGAGAACTGACCTAGCTTGAACACCTAAACAATAGACTACTAGGATTCTGAAAGGGACCTATTGAACGGTAGTTATCTTGTAAATACCCTATCGCCGTGACGCGGGGGGGTGGGCGTTGGGTGTGTATTTTGTATGCATTTAAGCAGGGCTCTGGTCCTGCTAGAGTTGTCTTAGAGTTTAGTTGAAATCACTAACTATGAACTGAACACTCAACGTGTCTGAACCCAGTATATTTCACTGGGGAAAGCAGTTGGCAGGTAGTCTGTTGCAGAGAGAAAGTGGCCTAGAATGAAAGGGTTAAGCACTCACCCCATTTGCTCCCATCTAAGTGCCCCCCTTAGAATAGATTAGAAATATTGGGTTGGATTGAGGACAAAATTTCCACTTGTGCTAGAGCTCTTGAGTGAGGAGAAACATACACAAAAAAGGCTGCACTAGCCATTTTCACGAAATCAAACATAGTGTATCCTCACTGGGATATCTGCTAGTTCAAGATCATGTGCAAACAGTTTCTGGGAGGAAAGCTCTATGTGTTGTAAATCATCTTGTGTGAGCAGAACACCTATAAATCCATTTATATTTCTGCTCATGCATCACTGGATCCAAACCCATGTGTATTGTAGTGTTGGAGAAATTTGGGTTCAATTGGAGGGATCTAAATAAGCCACACGGGGCCTCAGTGGCTCAGTGGTTAAGACACTGAGCTGCGGACTGGAAGGTCTGTAGTTTGGCAGTTTGAGACCCTAATGCCGCATGACAGAGTGAGCTCCCATCTCTGGCCCCAACTCCTGCCAACCTAGCAGTTCAAAAGCAAGAAATTGCAAGTAGATAAATAGGTACCACTTTGGTGGGAAGGTAACAGCGTTCCATGCGCCTCGGCATTTAGTCATGCCAGCCACATGACCACAGAAATGTTGGCATGTTGCTGTCTGCCAGAATTACAGTATTGTCTTAATTATTTAATAAGAAGTATCTTACAGAATATATTCTGATATTTTTAAGGTATCCAAAGATCTGCCTGAGAAACAGAAAGAAACAGAACATCTGCTAAATAACTTGGTCCAGTTTGAACAACAGTTAAATCAACTAAGACTGTGGCTTTCCCCTATCAAAGATCAGTTGGAACTTTATAGTAAAGTGGGACAACCTGGAGCTTTTGACATTAAGGTAATTCTTTTCAAAATTATTTTTAGTGTTGCCATTTGTGTGTACAGTTGATCAGATGATGTGGTGTTTCTATGGGAATAGTGTTGTAAATGATGCAGAAGGCAAAAAAAGGGGAGGGAAATGGGGCTTTGGAAAAAAGGAAAAAAGGATTAACAAAAGTCCAGAGACACTTTGGCCATATTGTGCCCTATTCTGTGACCTCCAAATGTTCTCAGCTTCTTGTACTAATGCAGCCTTAATCTGTCTAGGAGCTTTTGTAATTATATTTCCCTTTATTTGAACATAAATGAGTACTCAGATTTGGGTGGATAGGTGCAATGGAAATGTGTTTAAAATGGAGTGGAGATTATGATATGAAGTAGTCAAATTTCACCTTGTTTAAATTTCACATTGACTTCACCGTATGTAAATACGGATGCATTGTACTGTAGAGTTTAAACAATGTGAAATCTTTGATTTTGGGGTGTGTGCACTGACCATATTACCTCATTCCCTTTGAAGACAATAGGATTTCACAGTGCTTAACTTTCACTGCTTTGTGCTATAGCTGTCCAGCTTACAATACTAGAGTATTTTTTGTCATATTCAGTGTTATTACTGTGGCTATATGAAAATACATAGGAACTTAGCTGCAAATGCACAATTGGTGTAATGGTTAGTGTGTCAGAGTAGAATGTGGCAGAATGCAGTTCAAATCCCTGCTCTGCCTTGGAAACTTGCATTATGACTGTCAAGAACCCAAGCCTGGGTCCACCTGAGTGTCCACTCATTTTTAAAAGAGCAGCACCCAGCTCTATGGGTCCTTGAGGTTAAATGCACACAAATAAAGCATATATATATATATGTTTATTGAACAGTTTAAAAAAAGAATAGCATTATGCAGTACAGTCTCTACTGCTCAGCAGCAAAGAAATTTTAAAAACTAACTTTCTATCTAATGAATTTAATACCTGCCATTAGATGGTTCACCTTCTTGCAGCATAAGAGTCCAAGCTATAGTCTAAAGCAGGGGTGTTGAACTCATTTGTTACGAGGGCCGGATCTGACATAAATGAGACCTTGTTGGGCTGGGTCATGTGTGTCATAAAACGTAATGTCAGGTAGCGGAGATATAAACTTTATAAAGGACACAAACACAAAGTTTTTTTAAAAACGTAAAATAAAAACATGCTTAAAACATTAGCACTCTCGCAATATTTTGCTTATTTAACAGTGTCTGATAACTGACACCTCTTGCTCTGAATTATTGCATCAAAATGTCTGTGCTGTTTCAATCTTGAGTATGTTGTTCAGGTATGTATCTGTAAGCTGCAAACCTATGATGACACAGCAGCAGCAGAACTGGAAGAAGAAGCCGAAGACAGCCAGTTCCACTGTGGGCCTGATAGAAGTCCTTCGGGGACCTCATCGGGCCCCTGGGCTGCGTGTTTGACACCCCTGGTCTAAAGCATTCTATACATAGCTGTCCATCATGATGTAGCATGACATATCAAAGCACAAGCATAAAGTTAGCATAACTTCTCTCTTTTCTGTACCCTAATTATAGCCTTTTGCCCCCAGAGATCAGATGGTTTTAACGCTCCAATCATAGTACTCTTTGATGGAGCTTTCCAGAGGCTGTTAGCAACCATTCCTAATTTCCCCCCCTTCCTATGTATGACCAATACGGGTTCTTGTAGTTAACCATTTACCTCATTTTGAATCTGGCTTTGAAAGAGATAAGGATGGTAACTGTAGGAAGGCCCAGATTATGAACACCTACAGGCCAGACTCTTTCAATAATCATGTTAATCCTTGAGAGAAACTAGAGTGCTTTGCCTCACAGTGACCTTGGGCTAGTCACACACTTTCAGTTGAACCTGTTCCTAACCTATTCCAGGAGCATGAAGGAAAGGATAATGTTGTAAGCCATTTTGGGTCCCCACTGGGGAGCAGAACAGGGTACAAATGAACTAAATAAAATAAAACAGATACTGAATGCCTTTGGGAAGAATTCATGAAAACAAACAAGTACATGCTTTAAACTTTGATTTTTCATCCCCCTGCTAAGTTTATCCATGTGCTGCACAAATATTATTTTATCTGTAGAATGCTCCCCCTGCTTTCTGTAATGTATAAATAAAAATGACATTCACCACTATACAGAGTCTTTGTAAGACATGGAATAACAATAATTGAATATAGCTGTTAATGCTTACTGCAAATCACCTAAATCACATTTATTCCTTAGTCCCTGTTGTAAAGGTGTGATTACAGTCACAGTACACATAAAGTAATTTTTTGAATCTGCAGGATGAACATAGCATATAAAGGGGGGGAAGTTATGAGCATGCCCACAGCTAGTCTTAAATCGTGTTTTGCAGGATCTGTGAATGCAGATGTCCTGGCTTATTCCTGTTCTTTTCCCTGGCTCTATCCTTCCTTGCTACAGAGTGAAGACAATCAAAATCAGCATTTTTCAAGGCCAAAGTGTGATTTAAGTGATTATTTGCATGCTGAATCTGGATTCCCCAACTAACTGTACATAAAATAATGGTTTCACATTATATTTGTGATATACAACCTTTAGTTCTGCCTTCCAGGCCTCACAGCAAATATTGTCTATAGGGGAAGTATTCTATTTACCAATGACATCAACCAATGGGAGGCTGTGGAACCTCTGAAGGAGGAGAGGTTTAGAGAAAGAAAGGTTGTCAGTACTTCATAAAGGACTTGGCAAGCAAAGAGATGAAGAGACACAAATAGGTAACAATAGGGATAATACAGGTTTTGATTTCTTGGGTTAAGCAAGGTAGGTTATCTCAGGGAGATAGGGTGTTAGGCTTTAAGTATTGGATCAGGGTAAGATCCAGAAGTAAGCTGATCTGGTCTCCAGGGTTGAGTCCTATGGTAAATTGGACTGATGAAGTGTAAGGACTTAACAGTTAAAGGCCACACTTCTGGCATTCATCTCTAAGGTTAGAGGTAGCAGTAAAAGGAATGGATCTATTGAGCCTTAAAAGCAAACTCCTGTTTCATTAGGGCAGAGTGTGTATTGTGACACTAGCACTCTAACAGAAACCACCATCCAACTTACCTGTAATTATGGGGGACACAATTAAGTTATAATATCTGACTATCAAAATTAGCTTGAATACTTCTTTGGAATTGACAATAAACCTGTTTTGTTAAATTAAAGGCATTTGCATGAGTTACTGCAGGGGGAGAATAATTTACCTCAGGAACCAGATCTACAATTTACCTCAGCACTGTACATAACAATCAGTTTGCAGTCCTAGCACCTAGGGGAGGGGAGAGGGCAGTGAAGGTGAAGAGTCTGAACTCCTAATAAACACAATCACTTTCAACCTTTTGGAATAAAATGACCACAACTTTATTGACTACAGCTGTAAGAAGCCTTGGCACAGCATGTGAACACCGTATTCTCACATTGACTGTCCCGCCTGCCAGTTGATGTACCCCTCCCCACCCCTGACCATCTGTTGGGGTGGGGAAGAACCATAGGATGGCCGAATGTCAGATTCCACAAGGACAATCACCATTAAGTGGTCTCTGCTACCACTTGATTGTGAGGGTAACCCACTGGCAGCCCCCAAGCTGGGCATGCCCCTTGAAAGCCCTCACCCCAAGATCCCTTAAGGGGAGGCCCACACACAGGGAAAATGTACACACAGGCCAGTTTCCCTAAAATGGATTCAACCCCATGCTGATATCACCAAAAGAGCTGGGCATTCTCCCACCCGGTTCCCACCAATGCTTCTACAGTTGTAACCAGGTCTGCATGCCATCCCAAACCCTATGTAGCCAGACATCCATCCCCCATTAAGACAAGAGAACACAATCAGCTAAAACAATCGGTGAGAGATGTCTGGATGTTGAATTCTTTGCCCCGTCCATGGCCTCCATTGTCTTTCCCAGCTAGCTGGTCACTTTCCCAGTCTGTTGGTTCGTTCAGGGCAATTGGCCCCAAGCCAAGAGTGCCACTCCAGCCAGTCCAAGTAAAGGATGGTCGTGGTTGGGAGCTCTTCCTATAGTGTCCACAAATCTGCCTTGGCTTAGCGTGCCAAGTCAATACCCATGCAGTCCCCAGGTCATTCTCGCTGAGTTGTATCACCAATGCATCTGGGGGCTAGCACCGCTCACTGCAGTGACAGACCATAGGCAGTAGTGTGTCCCATCTCATTCCTCTTGTGCTAATCCAGGTGATTCACAGTGCCTCTTCTAGGCCATGGTCCTGACCCCATCCTGATAAATCCATGTATATTCCTGCCCAGTGCTGTGACCACAGATCCAGACTAACTTGCACCACTTTCCTGAAACTGAATAAGACATTGTTAGAAATCAGCAGCCAGGTGCAGCCTGATGTAGGTCTTGAATGCCTCAGAGCACCATCTCCCAATGTTTGAATGTTTGATGTCCCTCACCACAAATTGGTAGCTATAGTCGCCACCCCAATATGAAGGGAATGGGACCTAAACTCACTGGGAGGGAGGCCCAAAGCTGCTAAGCCCCTCCTCAGGACCCCAGAAAACTGATAGCTCATAAATAGAGAGCTGTCCCTGTGAATGAGGAAGGGACCTGGCCTGTGGGGTCACACCACTTGAAAAGCTTAAGTAGCCTTCACCAGGCACAGACCTCCCCCACCAAAGGACCCAGCTTCAGGTGAGCCCCCTGCACCTGCTGGTTTGTCTTAGACCTCCTGATGGTTAAGGAGAGCCCTGTTGTGCCAATCAAGACATCTCAGACCCCAGGGGGTGATTAGCTGCATCTGTCATAGAATTTGTCACTAGTTAAAAGGCCAAGGTAAATGCTGCCTCAAATAGAGTGGTCTCAAAGGTAGACGAGTACTGGCTCGGGAGTTTCTGCACCAGCTGTTCCAGAGTACTGAATGTCAAGGTTCTATGCAGATTGAGTGCTCTAGGGGAGAGCCTCCTCTATCCTTCCACCACCTTGTGAACCAGAAAGCTGTTGTATTCGTCAGTGAAGCCATAAGCTTTGCT